CGATAGATGCCCACTCACTAATCCAATGCTTCCCTGTCCCCAGGGGCCCCCAGCCGGCTCCTCTGGGTGGCACCTTGCCAGGAAGCAGAGCTGTTTGGGTGAGGGGAGAATAATCAGCTGTAAATGCCGCAATCAGGGAGAAAAGGCTGCTCGGGCCCTTGGCGCCCACGCGTGCGCCTAATTGGCTCCACGTGTCTGCAGTTTCTTTCGAGAGCGGGAAAGTGGAAGGGTCAAGATCTCTTAATGTTCGTAATGGAAGGGAGGCAGAAGCCACTGCCAGCCCCACATAAACACCTTTTAATTGCTCGGAGAAGGGTGGGCAGAGGCACCGGCTTCGACAGACTCCCTTGTCCGTCAGCCCGCCATTACTGTGCCTGTAACTGTAGTCTAACCCCAGAAGCTGGGCTCCGGCAGAACCAGGAAGCACAGTCCAGTATCTGTTCCACACATGCTCACAAGGCTCCTACTGTGGGCCAGGCCTTGGCAGATGACTCGTGGCCTGCATTTCCCAGGATTAACCTTTTTGCTGAACCCTCATCAACGAATGCATCCCTGGACCCAGCCGAACTGGTCTCTAGGTGCCTCGGTACCCAACTATTCCCTTTGTCGCCTCTTCCGGGAAGCCTTTTCTACTGCCCCCCGGGGAAGAAAGGAATCTTCCTCTTGCTGAGGCTGCCCTGTTCCATCTGTATGTCTCTCAGGTCCCCATGCCCCGCTTCCTGTGGGACTTCTATTCACAGCTGTCACATTGTTGGTGCCCTAGGCCGTACTTGGAGACATGACTATTAAAGTGGTGTGCTACTGGCATCTAGTGGGTAGAGGGCAGGGATGTTACCAAACACCCGCCAGTGTTCTGAGCAGGCCCCGCAGCAAGGGCTGATCCAGTTCAAAATGCCTTTGGTGCTGAGAAGCCCTGCTTCAGACAAAGCATTGGAAAGGAAGCAGCAATTGAGTGGAAACTGGGAGGACCCTTCTCTTCCTGACAGAGAGGGTAACTGGCCTCAAGCCCCTGCCTGGCCTCTACCTCCTGCCCCTCTGAACACCAGTGCAGAGCTCCATTCCTGAACAGACCGGGCCACACTGCCAACGCGCGTCAGCTTAATTGGGTTAAGTGGCCATTAGCAGCAAAAGCAGGGCGACTGCCGTATAGGAGGGTTTTTAATTTTACTCTTTAAAGGACGACGCTAATTCCCCACAGGCCACTGATGGCAGGGATGCTGCCCACCAGCACCCCTGATCCCTGTCCCACCTGTGTGAGCTTTCTGGGGGACTTTGGGAGGAACACTCTTTGTCTACTAAGGAAAGTGAGGGGACAGGGACTTGTCCAAGGTCACTAGGCCATCACAGATCAAGGTGTTGTCAGAGGAAGCCAAGGCCCCATCTTCTTTGTCATTGGTCCTCGCTAATGCTACATGGTCGTAATAGTGGCATATATGAAGGCACTGCCGGTTTGTATGGCCTGAGTTTCTAGGTTCTGGAGTCCCAGCCAGGCCTTACCACTGCCCCTGGCTTGTCTGAGTTGGAAGGCAAAAGGACTTCCTGGAGCAGGCTGCCAGTTTCCATAGTGATGTGCACAGTCACCTGCCTTGGCCTAGGTGCCATGTCCTGGGTGCCCTGGCCCTGGTAGTTCTTTTTTCTGGGAATTAGTCCATGGAGCCCTAATGCCTTTAGCCTTGCCTGTGGGCTTGTCTCTCGTCTCATGCCAGATCCTTCCTCTCACCATATAGCCAAGGTGGCAAGCAGCATAGCATTCCAGGACACTCACTGTCCTTTATGGATGACACCCCCTGGAGTTGAGAAACCAGAGGTGCTGGGCAGGGAGGGTGCTCAAGCCCTTAGCTTTATCTATGCTTCTGAGATATGGCATCTTGATGAAGGAGGGTGGTTCTGAACTTGTGAACTCCAGCAATTCTCTTCCTTTAGCCTCCTGAGTAACTGGCAGCACAGGCACAGAGAAGGGAGTCGGGGCCTGAGATGGAATGGTCTTGGCGTATGAGGGCAGGAACATGGCCTGTCCTTCCCTACTGCGCCATCAGCACCAGCACGGAGATTATCACATAACTGGCCGTAGTGAATATAGCTGACAACGTTGAGGGGCAAACACAACAATGAATAAACCACCTCTCCAAGAAAAAGGCTGTGTGCCAAGTCCCCAGTTGAGTGGATGGGGACATAAGGATTGCGCTTCAACTCTACCCAAGTTTTCATGGCGCACCTCAGGAGCTCAGGTACCTTTTTATGCCTTCTGAAAGTCCTGGAAAGTCCTGGCTCAAAGGCCCCATCTCCTTGGGTAGTTGAAGTGTCAAGACAGGGTACCCTGTACATGTCCAAGGCAGAGAGATTAGCATGGCTCCTGCACCGGGGACACTGCTTGCCTGTGTTTGCCCTGATCTGGCCTGCTTCTCTCTGACTCTTGACTTCCGGTCCAGAAACATCCGATTGATGTTGATTGGACAATAGAGTGAACTTGTGGACTGCATTGCTTTGTTCCCTCTTTACAAGCCCCAAATTAAGATTCAAGACTGGATCAAGGGATTTAAATTGGATTACTGGATGGGGTCCAGGGAGGGAGGAACAATGGAATGGGGGATGAGGGTCAAGACCCCAAAAGCTCCTCCCCTCATTTTCACTCAGGCTGCATGCAAATGTGGGAAAGAAGAAAAGGATCAAAACTTGATTAAAAGCAAATTTAAAATATAATGAAGTTCAAAGCTGACTTTGAACAATGAGAATCAAGGCAGTAGGCAGTCCTTCTGAACTCTGGGGATGAAGGGTGAGCCTGGAATCAGGCTGCAGCAGAAGGAGGGCACTGGCCAGCAGCGGGGCTGGGACTGCAAGGGTTGTAGCCTTAGCACAGGCCTTGGGAATGTGGGGAGCCATGGGCAGGGATCTGAGTCAGGAAGGCCTGTGTTCAAATTCTGGCTCTCCTGCATCCTGTCCTGATACATGACACCACCAGGCCTCAGCGCCCCTTCTCTAAAATGGAGTAGCAAAGACTTCCTTTTGGGGATGATAGGGGAATGACTCATGATAGACTGACATTATGGTGAGTGCCTTTCCCCATCATTCTTCCACTGAAAATCATTTTGTATTAGGCACCGACTGTGTACCAGGGAATGGGCTGGTGCTGTTGACTCAGTGGAAAAAAAGGGCAGATATCTGTCCTGTCTCTCAGGCAGGAATGAATATGTGGGATGTAGGATGAGAGCTGGACCACGACCCCAGGTTCCTGACCATGCCCAACCCCTTCTGTTATTAGGGTTGGTTGTCTCTGTGGTATTGGGTTAAGGAGTTAGGAAATGGCTCTAATTTGAGCTGGCAAGCCAGGTATGGTAGTGTATGTTCCAACTCAGAAGGCATGGGGAGGAAGATTGGGAGTTTGGGGCTAGCCTGGGCTACATACTGAAACTTTATCTAAAATAAAAGTTTGAACAAGGCAGGCACATTCTGTACATCAGGTGGGGACAGGAAACCTAGGAAGCAGTGTGCAAACTTAGGGTCTGGAATGAGGGAGGGGCAGGAAGACAGAGAACAAGATGAAGGGGGACACATTTGGGAGAGGCAGTGGGTTGGGGGGGATGTGTTGTCTGGGTAGCTAAGCACATGGCTTGACATTATAGCGAGAGACCTTTGACCCCTACAGCTGAAGACTAGCTTGAACCCGTCTATGGCAGCCTGTCTTCCAACTGACTCCCCATATCTGTGATCCTGAAAATCAGGTACGACTAGGCTCTCTAGGCACAGCTCTGGGTTCATAATTGTTGGAATCCTTAGAAGCCATTTTTCCTAGACTTAGGAGGTCAGCTCCACTCTGTTCCATGCACAAAGGCCACACAAGACTGAGGAACCCATGAGGGACAGCAGGGTCCTGCTCCTGGAAAAGAGAACTCATTATCTTTTGGGGTCTAGATATGGAGGACGTAGGCTAGCTGCCTTGACTTGGCCATGCCATAGTTGTGGAGAGATATGCTAATTTTTTAAAAAAATTGCCTTACTGAGATTTACTTGAGATAGCAAATTCAGTCACATTAAAATATGAATTTCAGTGGTTCTTAGAGTCATGCAACTACCACCATAAGCTAAATTTAGAATATTTTCATCACCACCAAAAGCAACCCTGTATTCACCAGCCCTATCTCCTCTGCACTAGCCCTACGCAACCATAAGCTAGCTTTCCAGTTCTATGGATTTGCCTTTGCTAGATATTTCATGGCAATAGAAGCGCACACATGGCCATTGTCACCGGCTTCTTCCACTCGGCATGACTCGAGTTTATCTATGTTGTAGGGCATATCAAACCTTTTTCTTCTTCTTCTTTTCTCTTCTCCACAGACTGGGGTCAGCTACAATGGTGCCGCTGATCTAGGGGCAGAATGGATGCTTCTTGCCATTCATGAACGACTCTGCAGCTCCCAAGGGCCCCTCCCCGCCTGCTGTCCTTGGAGCCAGCAGGGGTCTGGTTGCTTTGTCAGGCTAGCCTGGCAAGTCTCACCATCTGGGGGGGACCTAGTGCCTGAGAGCTGCAACCTCTCTGAGTGTCAATGGGGAGACTGAGGCCCGGTACAGGCAAAGAATTTTTTAAAGATTTGGGCAGAGCGGGGGCCCCAGCCTTCCCCATCTGTGGCCGCCTCTGTACCATCCTCTCCCCAACAGATCCTGCAGCCCACCTAGGGGCAGACTCTACTGACGAGTCACTGTTCCGACCCGGTACTCACTCTTCCATCCATAGACAAACCAGGGGTCTGAGAGGAATGAGGAAACACCAGGCCCTACAGGAGGGAGAGGCAGGATTGCCTGGATCTGCTGCATCACCTCACACACAGCCAAACCCAATTACAACTGCCACGGCTGCCCACCGCCCCACAGGCACAGGTCTGCTATTGGTTTTCCTGCTGGAATTCAGGGATCTGTGACAATGAGGGCTGGAGCACTGCCTTCAGCCAAGGCCGCCCCGCCTAGCTTTCCCTTAACGTTCTCATGACCCCAGCACACTGGCCTACCTTCAGGGCCTGCACCTTCCTGTCCAGCAGGCTCTCAATGTCCCCTGCCACCTTCTCCACCAGTTTCTGTGGTTCGTTCTCCTGTATTTCAAACAGGTTCCGATTGTCCTTGTAGATCTAGAAGGAAGCAGAGGTTAAAGGTGAGGCCAGAATGGTCCGTCACTTCTGTGCCATGGCCTTAACACTGCATGCATGGCTCAGTTAAGTCCTAGTCCCTATAGGACCCTGGCTTTGGCCCCAACAAGCACAGAATCCGGGGCCTTCATGATCTCAGGAAAGGGGAACGCAGGCTTTATATCCTGCATGTGGGATGAGGTCCAGCGTGGGCTAGTTGGTGGCCAGTGTTGGTGGTTGACGGGTCCAAGGTTGCCTTGTCCAGGCCTCGGGGATCCCCCTTCAGAGGCCATGAGTTGTACCCACTGTTTGTTCAGAGTGGCTGCGAGCAGGAGAGGGGAAAGGCAGGCTGGATGGGAGGCAGAAGCCAGGGCATGTGGTGAGGGAGATGGGGCTGAAAAGCATATGCCACAAACCATCTCCCAACATAAAGATGTTCTCACACGCACACATGTACACACACGTACATACCCGTGAACAATGTCTTACGTGTACACATTCATAGCTGCTCCTCCACATAGCCTGAGGAAGCTGTGCTCCTTTTTGTGGGTGCTGCCCTAGACCATTTGCGGAAACTAAGGAGTTCTAGGAGCCCTTGGGACGCCTCTGCCATTCAAGGCACACAATCTTGAGGGCGACCAGGTAGGAAGAATTAATCTGCCCGTTCCTCCTCCTTAGGGGGTGGAGTCTGAGTGCACGTGCCTGTGTTGGTGTAAATTGATGGTTAGTGTGTAGCATGGCTTGACCCTGCCGTCTGTGTGCACACGCCAGCACGTGGGCTTTGGGGCGGGTGCGGCTAGGTCCTCTAGATACAGCCTGGGAGCTTGTATGTGAGTCTCAGAGGCAGATTTATGCAGGCGTCTTTGTTCGTGCTTGGGGTCTTGGGTATGTTCGTGCACAGCGTTGTACAGCTGTGAGTGTCTCCAAGCCTGATCTGGCCTGTGGATCTACTCAAACAATTCCAGGAAGTCTGTACCCCAAGTTGGCTCCTTCACCACCAGAGGTCATAGGCCTGGCTGCCATGACAGAGCCTTGCCACCGGTGGCTGTGCAGAAGCAGCGGCATGGGGAGACAGAAAGAACTGGCGATGAGGGACCACAGGGAGGTGACAGAGGCACCCGATGAGAGACAGACAGGCAGGGAGTGATAAGGTCGGGGAATGACAGACGAGGTGCAGAGATAAGGTCTCTGCCATCTGACAGGAGCGAGGGCTGGGGGCTGGGGGCTGGAGGTTGGCAGAGCCTCAGCCCTGCCATCTGCCCAGTGGCCTGGTAGTCTAAGTGTTAAAGCAACACAGAAAGCAGGCTCAGGCAATCTCCTCCCGCAATCCCCCATGCTTCTCTGCTTCTCTTTCCTTTTTGTCCTCCTCTTAGAACAAAATAATTTGCGAGGCAGTTGCTCTATCCCACAGAGCTATGGCCATTAGGTGGCGAGTGGCAGGGCCTGGCTTTACAGCCAGAGAGGTCTGAGGCTCTGCGTGAACAGGGCAGGCTGTTCCATAGAACCCATGCTCAGCCTCTGGACCAACGTCTTCACATGGTCCTCTGTGACGGAGGCAAAGGAAAGGAAAAATCAGAACCTGCGAGCTGCGGAGAAATGCAGGGAGCAGAAACCCTACATGAGGGACACCGAGCAACAGAGAGAAGAGCACAGTTCTGGGCATAGGGCTGAGTGGCAAAGCCATGTCCTCCCCTGACCCGCCCTTCTCAGGTTTGGAGGTTTAAAACACCTCTCTTCCCTGCTTTGGAGCGTAATCTGGTTGTGTAGCAGCCATGGTCTGGGCTACACCGCTGAAGCAGCACCTAACCTACTTGTGCCAGCAGGGGGCGCAGCTGCCTGGCTTCATCATGCCAAGGGATGAAGTTCCTACACATTAGATCCGCTTGTCAAGGTCATTTCCAGGCTCTGAGGATGGACCGCACTGGTTTCCCAGGCTCAGGACACACTTTGAAGCCTATGCAGCTACTGGGTTGGGGCCAGCCGAGGGAAGAGATCTGGTGTCAGGGCTACACCCCAGGGTCCCAACAGGTGGCACAAAGCTTGGAGGCTGAGGTTCTCCCAAAAGTCACCCATCTCTGTATCCCCTGATATATTTGTTATAACAGGAGTCTCCACAAGCCAACGGAGGGCAGCTCGGTTCTCGTCCTTGGAACCGTGTACTGTGGCCACCACTGTGACTGTTTAAGATCACCAGGGCTGAGGAAGTAATCTCAGCTCCCTCCCTGCCCCCACTCTTTTGCTAGATATCCCCTCCGAGAGCTGTAGAAAGACATGAGCTGTCATTCCCAAGTAGCCAGCCTCTTTCTCCCGAGTTCTGCCCAAGCCCAGCCCCAAACCCTCAACCCCCTCCCTCCACCACCCTGTCTTTTTCCCTAACACCTCAGTCTCGGCCCTGGAGGTGATAACAGAGGAGCCCAGACACCAGGGAGCCTCTGATATCACACAGCCATGCCTAGCTCATTTGCTGTCCCCCCAAGCACCCTGTCTCTGTGCAGAGGACACTCAACAAAGGCATATGCCCAATTCCCTGTTTAAGAGCAGGGCTTTGAGACCCAGGTTCCGTCCCCTCCACCTCTGCCCGCAGCTGTGTGAGCTCCCAGAGCCCTGCCTGTCTCGGCCCAGCTTTCTTCCCGTTCTACTTCCATTCAAGGACCTATCCCGGTGTCCTTCTTCTTCCCTTGGTGTTTGCATTTGAGGCCACTCTGGATTACTGCTAGCAGACCTTGAAGCCATGCCGTTCCTGTCATTCTGTCTTCCCATGCGCTCTAAATCCTGTCCAGAGTGAGGAAATGGATTGTAAGGGGTTTCTGGTGTAATGAAGATAGAATCCTAGCGGCTGCTCAAGCTGCCAGCCCAGACAGTCCCCAATTCCCAGTAAACCCCTGATAGGTAGCAGCTCCTAAATGGCAGGCCCCTGGTGTCCCAGGCTTTCAACATTCCTTTGGACCTGTTCCAACTGCTCTGTTCCCTGGAAGGGCCCTGAGCTCAGTGCCGAGCTCAAAGGAGATCTGAATGGCACGGTTCAGCAGGTGGTCCTCCCCAAGAGAAAAGTCTTGTCCATATTGATGTGGTCCAGGGAGCTGATTTCCAGCAAGGACCCAGGAGGGAGCCAGAGAGAGTGTAGTGCTTGGACCCTGCCAAGGGCTACCTTCACACTAACACCAGCCCCTAGTCTTGGGACCAGCTGAAACATGGCAGAAAGGCCAGGACACCGGGTACGACCACAGCAGGACCACATACCTGCTGGTTTCCTTGTGCCAGAGAGTTACTTGGAAAAACACAATAGTTCCCACAGCCATGCTGCCTCAGTGGTCCTCACCTTTATCCAGGTAGCTGGTTTGGCTTGAACAAAGAGACTACTGGGTACACAGGCTGCTCACCTTGAAGCCATCTATCTAGTGGGGCAAGAGGCAAGGGCTTCATCCCACAGGGAATGGAAGGGAGGCACTGGGGGACAGAAGGAGCTGTGTAGGCACATGGGAGAGGGAAGGGGACAGTGCTAGAGAGCCTGAGGAACCTCAGGGGTGGCCAAGGCAGGAGGGACAATGTATGGGGCTGAATGGAGTCCTTCACAACACATACCATGGACCTCTAACATGCACTTCTAGTCACTGTTTTTAAAAATGTGTTTGTTCAATGTGCAAGTGCGTGCATGTGAAGGCCAGAGGCCCACATCAGGTGGCATCTTCAATTCCTCTCCATCTTGTTTGGAACCAGGGAGCAGGAGTTGCCTCTCATGGAACCTGATATGACTAAACTGGGTATAACGGGTCCCAGAGACTCCCCCCGTCTGTAAGGTGCCCCTGATGTTTACGGAGGAATTGGAGTTTAACCTCAGATCCTCATCCCTTTGTCCCAGGCTTTTTAACAACCGAGACATCTTCTCAGTCCCTACTTATAGCTGTGACTCTGTTTGGGTGCCCTCTTCCCTTTCGGGGACTCATGCTAGGCCCATGGTCCCTTTGGGGGCCCCAAACCCTCTGCCCAGCCTCTTGCTTCCTGGGGCAGCTATGTAAATGAGAACAGATCCCGAAGGATGCTGGCAGGACACTGACCTTGGATGGGCAGAACGAGTCAGCCTCATTCCCAAAAGCCAGGGACATTCAAAAAGCTACCATAGAAGACAAAAGACGAGTGGCATGGACAGACCCCACCAGGGGTATTTTACAAAGTCCCAGCAAGCCAGCAACAGTAAGGCCCAGACCTGAGCCAGCTACTAACCTGCCTGAGGGTGGGAAGGCTGAGAAGGGAGAGGAAGGAGGGAAAAGAGAGGATGGGGGAGGCCACAGAAATAGCCCCACTGGCTTGCCCTGGGGCAGGGGCTTTACACATTTGACCTCACTGATTCATGATGGGCAGGAAAGGCAGTGCATTCTTGTCATCCTCATTTAACAGGCAGAGACTGGCCTGCCTGTTAGGAGGTGAAGTCCCACTGCAGAGCTGGAAACCGAACAGGCCCGCTCTGATCCAAAGCCCTTGCCTTAGGCACTCTGCAGTTCTGTCCTCTGCATCTACCTCTAAACTTGAAGATAAGACTTTTGAGAAAAGGGGTATAAAGGTTTGAAGGGATGAACTGGGGTTGGGGCAGACACAATGATGCCAAAGAGCTGGGGGCAGGTGGGGAGCCAGCCACTCCAGAAGGGAGGGGTCGGTGGACCGGCAGAACTAGCAGGCTCCTCTAACCAACCACATAACCCTGGGAGTGAAAACAGGCACACACTCTTGAAGCTTCTCTCCGCAGTGAAGGTGAACGGGTCCTAATCTCTGGAAAATTAAATCAGAGAGAAAATGGAACAAGAAAGACTTGACGCAGGCTTGCCTTGCCTCTGTGCCTCCTCAAAGGCCCAGGCTCAGCATGGGGCCCAGCATCCCAGCCCCCACTCTGAGCCTGCTCTCCCCGGGTGGGCGAGCAGCAGCTGGTCCCTAAACCCTCTCTTACCACACCTTACACAGCCGAGGTGGGTGTCTTAGCTATCCAGTCCCTCATGCTTCCAGGCTCCTAC